CTAATGTTCTCCCATGTAAACTATCACATAATTCACAATAAAACATTAAAAAAAAGTACCATGGACTACCAGGAGAACAAACCAATCTGTATTGGAAGAAGTACAGCCAGAATGCTCCTTAAAAGTCAGGCCAGACTCAGTTTCTTATACTTGGGACTCAGGAGGGACCAGTGCCTGGAGAAGAACATAATGCTTGGTAAAGTGGAGGGTCAGCAAAAACGAAGAAGACCCCCAACGAGATGGACTGGCCCAGTGGCAGCAGCAATGAACTCAAGTGTAACCACGATTGTGTGACTGGCGCAGGACTGGGCAGTGTTTCATTCTGTTGTGCACACGGTCACTATGAGTCAGTACTGACTGGACTGCACCTAACAACAATAGCTTCGGTGTCTTCATCTGTAAAAAGAGATGTCTTAGAGACCCTCCTTAGCTGACCAGAGAATGAAACGGTGACCCATGTAAAGCACATGGTCCCATGTAGTTATCAGAAACACAAGACTTGTCTGATCTAAATGGTGGCAAGTATACATCTTACAAGTAAAGATCTGCTTTTCAAATAGCAGCAAGTAAGAAAGTAGCTCCAATAAATCTGCTTCCAGTCTGGACCAACTTCTGGATCTCACACTTCCACGACAGTTCCGATAAAAACAACAGCATGCCCTGCTAACACAAAAGCCACAGCGTCCCTTGGCACTTCATCCTGACACATGCACACCAGGGCCTTCAATGGCTTTTTCATTTTTCACTGAACACCCAAAATCAAAGTCCTCAATCAACATTCTTACCAAGGTGTGGGTCCAACAAGTGTGGCTGCTCCTGGTACTTGTCCATGATCACTGGAAAGAGAAGAAGTGGACATGAGACTGGCTCTGTGCTGTCGTGACAGGGACACTTCTGTTCTCCCTGTCCACTGCCCACTGCCACGGTGCCCTGCTCTTCCCTCCAAGCCGCTCCCAACAGTACGCCCCTCCTCTGAAAGATGCCAGGCAGTCACCTGAGTGAGCTTCCCACCTTCCTCCTCACGGCCCCCTCAGTCACTTGCTCACTCATGCCCCTTCCTCAGTCCTCACTGCCAATCTCTTCTGAACCCTCCAACCTTCCTTCCACTCCCTTCAATCTCCCTCCATAAGTGGGGCTCTCCATCACTGTCTTCATGCCACAACCTCCCAAGGTCCAGGCCACCTTGCTCTGTCCCTATAGCAGGCAGGAATGATTCCACTCTGGTCCACCAACATCTTCACCTGCCATACACCTTACTCATATCTGAGCACTAACTGCACCCAGGGGTGGGGGCCTCATCTAGCTCACTCCCAATACAACCACTGTTCTCCTTCTCAGCAACCACAGGGACTGAGGCTCAGGGAAATCTAGTAATGAGCCATATGACAGGCCCCAAACACCCAGCAACTAGTCAGCTGTCAGGTCCAGGACACTAGCGCCAAGGCCGTGTCCTCACCACGTGCTGCGCTGGTTCCACTGAAGGAGGCTGCCATCCTAAACAGAAAAAAACAACAGTATATGGAAATGTCTGGCTAAAAGGGAAAGAACACCAGGCAATGACCACTGATGTCCTACAGGGTAGTCACCAGACAGCTAACCTCAAGGTTGGCAGTTCAAATCCACAAGTTGTCCCACAGGAGAAAGGTGAGGCTTTCTACTCCTGTAAATATGTGTTGTTGTTATTAAGTGTTGCCAAGTCAGTTCCCACTCATAGGGACCCTGGGTTTCCAAGGAGCAGCTGGTGGGTTTGAACCACTGACCTTGTGGTAAATATGTACAGAAACCCTGTATTAGGGTTGCTGAATCAGAATCAACTAAATAGCAGTGGGGTTGGTTCTGGTTTAACATTGATTTGAAAACTATGACCTTTGACTCTGGAAGTTTTTTGTGAAGCCCACCATCAGACATTTTTCTGGCTGCCTCATACCCAGCTGTGTGTGACTTGTCACAACTAAGGGTCTCCTTCCCTCCACTGCATGGTGTCCCTCCCACTTACCAAAGGGAGCCCAGCCCCACCCTGTTGCCATGGCCTCTCCCATGGTTTGAATTACTTCCCCCCAAAAAAGAAAGGTTGCAAATCCTAACCTCTATGCCTGTGGCTATACTCCCATTTGGGAATGGGCTGTCTTAGTTATAGTCATGAGGCAGGATTATTATAGGATGTATCCCAAGTCAATCTCTTTGTGAAATACAAGAGAGAAAAAACGGAGCTAAGAAGCAGAGATGGGGAGAGAGATGTCAAACCACAGCAGTAGCTAAGAGACCAGTACGTTCCTCCAGAATGGACAGAGGAAGCTGTCCCCTAGGTCAGCACCCGGAAATCAGACTTCTAGACTCCTGAACTGTGAGAAAACAAATGTGTTTGTTACAGCCATGCACTTGTGCTATTGCTGTTAGAGCGGCACTAGAGAACCAAGACACAAGGTCAGCCAGCCTCTAAGGGCTTTCTGAAGCAACTGATCTTCGTAATTCCTTGCATTTAGATCATAAATCCTATGAGTTTACTTGTTTAAATCAGCCGCTCAATGGTCTATACTCCGTTTTCCTATCACATTTCCTAACTGGTCAGACCACCGGATCTTCACACGGACTTCTCAGGATCAAAGTCAATGCCTGTTCTTTGCTTCCTTTTAGCTAAGAAAGTCCACTCCTGAGGGCCCCCATCTCCTTAACCCCGATCTGACTGTGAGCAGGTGACGTGTGCATTGCCTTCCCCTGCACACACCTGTCCTCCACAGCAGACAAAGCAAGTCTTGGGCTTTTCTGCATTCGTTTTCTTCCTCTTTGTCTTGATTATCTAGTGCTGTTATAACAGAAATACCACAAGTGGATGGTTTAACAAGCAAAATTTACTCTCTCACGGTTTAGGAGGCTCAGAGTTCAAATGTGGACACCTGTCAGCTCTGGAGAAAAGGCTTTGTCTGCCTTCACATCTGCTCTGGTCGTCCCTTGGAGATATCCACGTGTCTTGGCGTCCATCTTCCCCGGGGCCTGGGAGACTCAATCTGAAGAACACAGTCTTGTCCTAGCTCTTCCTTTTTGGTGATACTAAAGTCCATCTCATTTCTGCTGGCCTGTTTCACCCTTTTTTTAATCTCAAAGAGATTGACTTAAAATACAACCTAATCCTGAGTGTAAGAGTGAAAGGAAACAGAGGTAACTATTGTTAGCTTCTGGTACATGGACAGGATTGCAACCCCTGTAATGTAATGTGCTGAATGCAACACGGATGACCTGGTCTATAAACCGTCACTCAATTCACAATAGATTTTTTTTTTTAATGTTTTATTGTGAATTGTGTCATAGTCTACATGGAAGACACAATAGATTTTTTTTCAAAAAAGAAAAAAGATACAACCTAATCCTGTGGGTTGCATCCAACCTCATTAAGATGCAGTAGTTAAGGGCCATCAAGTCGGTTCCAGCTCATAGTGAGCCGTATAAGGTTTCAGAGGAGCAGCAGGTGAGTTTGAACTGCTGGCCTTGAGGTCCTGTGCTTATTCTACACCAGGACTCCCACTTCATTAACATAATGGCCTCTCATCCTGACTCATGAATAACATGTTGTGAAATGTCGTCAACTCATAGTGACCCTGTATAGGGTTTCCTAGGAGTGGCTGGTGGGTTTGAACTGCCAACCTTGCAGTTAGCAGTCCAGTGCTTATCCTATAGTGCCTCACCAGGACCCCATTAGTAACATAGATATAATTATACTTCTTGTTGTTGTTAAGTGCCGTCGAATCAATTTCAACCTCATAGTGACCCTGTATAGCATTTCCAGGGAGCAGCTGGTGAGTTTGAACCACTGATCTTGTGGTTCAAGCCAACCTTGTGTTCAAGTGCTCACTCTTCTCACCACTGTTATTGATGGAGGTAAGGATTTATAACACACAGTACAATTACATCAGATCACAAAATGGATAATTGCGGAATACTGACTGAGCATCATGACCCAACCAAATTGACACATATTTGAGGGGGACACAATTCAATCCATAGCATCTCATTTGAAAGCTCTCCAAATACTGATATCCTAGAACAGCATCCATCACTGCTTGGGCTGAGGGAGGTCCCATCCCTAGGAAGCAGCATCCCACCAATCGGGTATGGAGGAACGCTGGTGTCAAATCCAGTAAGGTGCTTATAGAATGCAAGTCTTGCAGGTACAGCATCCCTGAGGTGAGAACAGGTACCTGCTTTCAAACAAGCTCCCCAGGGAGGCTGATGAAAAACCATTGTTATTATTGGGTTGTGCTGACTCCCCAGGCCTCCACTGTTAAGCCTGACCCCACTCGCCATCACTGCCACATCCCATCTCAAAGAACACACTCCTCCCCAAAGTACCTCCAACTAAGGGTGTGTGTGGAGTCCAAACCTGGCCTGCTACACTCAGCACTGTTCCCTGAGTCCCCGCCATCTCTACGGGGCCTGCAGACTCGGGGACCAGGCTCCTCAGGCCTGTTGAGCCGGCCTCCAGGGACCTAACAGGACAAGAGGGCTCATTTCCTCTCCCTTCCACTGAGGTGTCTCTTCTCAAGGACAGTCCCCTCAGGTGTGCAAGCCATGTTAGTGACCAGATGCTGATACTGAGCAAAAAAACAAATTCCTGTCAAAAAAAGGTTACACTTGTCCTATGCATATAACAAAACAAGTCAGGGTCAGTGTCTGCCTTCCAGGAGGCTGCTGCTTTCCAGCACCCACATGGGCAGGAGTGCTGAGGGGCCCCTCACACGGGAGTGGGCAGGGTCCACTGTATCCCCTGGGCCTGGTCACTCAGCTTAGGATCCCCCCTTCCCCTAAGCACAGACTCTGAACTCAAGAAGAGAGGAGAGCCTAGCTTTTCATCTCGGGAGTCTCCGGGACACAGGGAACGCACCTCGGAACCGCTCCAGGGCCACCTCGCGGGCAGCCAGGTCGCCGTGCACGTCCTTCAGGCGGCCAAGAAGCTCGCGGGTCTCCACGCTCTCACCGAAGGATTCCAGGGCTCCTACGCAGGCCGGTGCATCGGGCTCCCGGCCAGCATCCACCTCCTGCTCCTCCGGGGATCCCGTGGCCAGCTCATCGCTCAGGGCCATCCTCGAAGCCTGGGGGCCACAAGGTCCAGACTGAGGGCCGCCCTCACCACCAATGACCACGGTCAGCGTGCTAGGCCCCAGGCCCCGCCTCACGTGACTGTGGACAGTCCTTGGTCACCGCGCCCCACTTCATGTGACTATGGACAGTCCACAGTCCCAGGTCCCTGTATTACGTGGCTGTGGACAGTCCACGGTTCCAGGTCCCCAAATCACGTGGCTGTGGACAGTCCACGGTCTCAGGTCCCCAAATCACGTGGCTGTGGACAGTCCACGGTCCCAGGTCCCCGTATCACGTGGTGGCTGTGGACAGTCCACGGTCCCAGGTCCCC